GTTAGACATATGGATTGCTATCAATAAATCAGTGTAAAAGAACACAAGCTTTGTTCAGAGATCTGATATCTGGGATTCTAAATAAAATAGTAGTTCTGTTTTGGATCGTACCCTGATGGATTGTGCTTTTTTTTTTAAGATAACAAATATCGTACCCTTGGTTTCAGCGTAGCTTTGTTTAATTTTTATTTAATGGCATCATGAATTTAACAGTGCTTGATTCAGAATTTGAAAGTTGTCTGGTTTTAATGTTATTGTCATTGTTCACTGAATCTTGTTATGGAAGAGCTCTAAGTGTATTCCTTTAATGACAGTGCATTGAAATTTAGCACAATAAATTTGGAAGATTTTTATGCAATTATTTCAAATTTGTTAAAGTCTATGCTGCAGCAAGAAAGAAAAAGGAGCTGTCTTGTTTTTACAATGTGTGATAACCACACAAGGAAATTTGGAATGGAGATGCTTTGCAACATCCTGAAGACCAAGCACCTTTCTGTATGTGTCATGCTTCAACTTTATTGCAAAATATTTCAGAAGACAGTGGCCTCAGTATTACTCATCATTTTCACCCTAGAATTTCTCTTTCTCACCTAATCTCTCTCTCTCACTCACACTCTCTCTCACGCGCGCGCACACACACACTGGGTAGTAGAGATGGAGGTTAAAATCTTGAAAAACTGCATATGCTCTCATTGCTTTTCTTACAGCAGCACATGTCCTGTCTTTGGCAAGACATCAATATCCCTAGGACTTGCCAGGTTTCTCCATGCCACTATCCACTCTTGTTTCCTCACTGCCTTTCAATAAATAGCAGAGCCAATGAGTCACCAATCATGAGTTTTTTTCTTTAATCCATTACTTTTATAGACTGAGTTAGCAGACCGCACCCTTATCTTTCATCCCTTCAGCTCTGTTTAAGAGTCACTTGTAAATACAGTGAGACCTTGCAGAATAAAACAAAACAAATCAAGTACATTAATCTTTTGATCATGTTTATTGCTTCATCCTTTTCAATGCTTTTTTACTTCAAGTCCAAACCTAAAGAATGGCAATGAAATTTGAAGATTTGTTTTACTCTGTTTGGACACTAATTGTATTTTGCCTATTAACGAAGTTGCAGGATCATTTAGGATACATGGAGGGAGGGTATTTGGCCCATTGTGACTATACTACTTCTCTGGAAGAGCTGCAAGTAAGTCCCATTGTTCGTGTTCACAACCCTGTAAACGTTTCCTTTTAAGTATGCATCCAATTTCCTTTCTCGGCTGACTTCAGAATTTGCTTTCACAGTCATTTTATGCATGTTATCATAGCGCACTGAGTAAAAATATTTTTATTCATTCTTATTCCTGTGCCCCTCCACACTCCAGCTTTTTTCTCCTCTGGCTATCAAATTCTTGTCAGTGGAAAGCGATTCTCCCTTTCTACGGTACATCATTTTGAACACCTTTATTAAATCTCCTCTTTGTTGCTCAAAGGAAAACAATCCCAGCTTCTCTTTGCCAAAGTCTTAACACTATCTCTGAAGTGTATCACCCAGATATAGTCACAGTACTTTAGCTGGGTTCTACCCACTGCTTTATTAAGGTTTACAATAATTGCTTTGGTTTTGTATTCCCCGGCTTCCATAAAGTCAAGATTCATGTATGCTCTTTGTAACAGCCTTCTCAACTTCGGCTGCCACTTCCATTGCTTTGTATAAAATCCAAGATCTGATTCTGCATCCTCATTCACATTACACCAACTGCCTTTCCTTGATATCCTTTCAAACCAAAACACTTTACACTTCTGTGTGTTTAATGTTCTGCCATGTGTCTGGCCTTTTCACTAGTCTGTTTATGTTCACCTGAAGTTTGCTACATTTCTAAACTTGGAGTCATCTGCAGACTATAAAATTATGCTCTCTGTAACTGGGGCTGAGGTCATTAATGAATATCAAAAAGATTAACAGTCCTAGTATGGACCCCGAGGACGCCACTACATATTTCATTCTAATCTAAAAAACAGACTTTCACCAGTACACTGCATTGTCCATTTTGTTCAACATTGCCACTGCTCCTATAATTGCGTGGTCTTTAATTATGCTATTATGTGGTACTTTATCAAATGTCTTTTGAAAGTCCCGTAATACATTAACTGCCTTGCCCTCATCAGCCTTCTCCATGACTTTGTTTTTTAAGCAATCTGTTATCTTTAGGCTGTTGTTCAATGGCCCATATTTTTCAAAGTAACTGTTCATTTTCTTACGGGTTAATTGTTTGCACAGAATTTTCCCCGCTACCAATGTTAGGCTGGCTGGTCATTATCTCCACTTTTATTTTACCTTCCCACCCTCTTTGAACAAAAGAATCTGAATTAATTCATCAAAATTGCATTTCCATTCTGTGACTAAACTTCCAAATATTTTAAAGGTTTTAAAAAAATTGTAAAAACCTAACTATTTAGCAAGGAACAAGGAAACATTGGAGTTCAGGTTATCCTTTACTCACCTCACGGACAGTGCACAGAGGCCTGAAAACAAATCAATTGTTCACAGGAATCTGAACTGTTCTTTAAAATGAAATGGGTTGGTGGGGAAAGAGATTCCTCAGATCCTCAAAAAAACCCATTACTTTTAGGTTGCCAGAAAAAAATATCCTTGAATGATGCAGGAAATATATACAGTTCAGCAGTGATCAGGAGAAAAATCAATCCACAGTTGAAGTAACTATCTGAAACATGACTTAAACCTTAGAATTACTTTTCCCTTTAGACCAGTAGTTTTCAATTTGCTCTTGTCCACATCTGAACAATTTAACACATCTGAATAGTTGGATTCTCTTATTAAATGCTATCAGGCATTATTAGAACATTAACAGAAGAATAGTATTCTTATTGGGCTCCATGTATTAATAAAATGGCTATGATGTGAAGGTACCAGTGTTGGACTGGGGTAGACAAAGTCAGAAGTCAAAAAGCACCAAGTTATAGTCCAACAAGTTAATTTGAAATCACAAGCTTTCGGAATGCTGCTACTTTGTCAGGTGAAGTCACTTGACAAAAGGGCTATGCTCCAAAAGCTTGTGATTTCAAACAAACCTGTTGGACTATAACCCGGTATCTTGTGACTTCTAAAATGGCTATGATTGACCAAGCAATAACTAAGTTATCATCTTGATCTCTATCCAGGAACTCTATACAATCGATGTCAAGCTGCAGTCAGGACGTGCAATTAGATCATACAATAGCCACTCTGTCCCAGCACTTTGAGGGTGTTGTTGCATGACAGACAAATGGCTTTGCTGCTGTTGATGACATTTGCCAATATAAAGAATTTTACTTCTGGAGCTCTGATAACACTGAAACTGTGAATTTTTGCGCAGGGGCTGGCAACCTTCAAACAACAAACACAGCCTGTATTTTGTTACCAAATTTAAAAAAGGGCATGATCTTAAAATCCACATTTGTTCTCAAATGTCAACAATAGTGTAAATAGGGCACATTTCAAAAGGATTTTATAGCTTCTACAAAAGAGTTGTTTTCCACGTAATATTTTGTTCAAAAGTACAATGTGAATGAGGGAGCTTCTGCTTGGGTAGATAATTCAGACCTGCTGCAATGATTGTCCTGGTAATGAAAACTTATAAATGAAAGTAATCTTTGAAGATTTTAAGTGATGGGGCTGTGATTATTTCCTTTGGCAGCTTGTTGCACTATGGGATTGCCCTTGAGAAGAAAGATTGCTGATACACAGTTTTAGAACGCATGGTCTGTGTAGTTTGTGTGGATGACTACTTTGTGTTTTGTCATTTGCTAAGGAAAATTTCCACTAATCCATTTTATATTTTATAAAACATTAGTCTGTTTTTGTCCCTTCTTTGCTGTTGTAACGCCTATTCTAAATCTTTCATCAAAGATGTGACACTGATGTATTTCCCAGATAGATTCATGCAGAATTGAGCAGCATGTCTTTGGATCATTCCAATCTTATTTATATTTCTTGCCATATAAGGATCCCACGCTCAACATGCATACTCCAAAATAGGGCAAACAGACATTTGGTAAGCTACATCACTGATATTTTTGTTGCAATACCAAAGATTCTTCCTCAGAAATCCAAGAACCCTGTTTACTTTGGATATTAGCTGGAATTCCCAATGAAAATTGTTTTTAAGATGAACCCCAAGTATGGTTGTATATCTTTCTACTAGCTAAAGAATTTGATTATAGAAATAAAGCAATCTGTTTGTGGATCCTTTTTGTCCATGATGCACACTGCATAGCATCTTTTGGTGTTGAATTCCATCTCTCATTAGTGATGCCACATTTGCAATTTCGAAAGATCATCTTGCAGGAAGTTGATATGATCTCGAGTTTTCCCTGATGTGTAAACTACCCAGTCATCTACAAATAGTCACAACCTGCTTTTAACCTTATTAGGAAAGTTGTTTATGGTTGTCAAGGAGACTTAAAAGGTCTCTGGGCCATAGCTGGGCATTCACCCATCTGGTGAAGTTTCATCCACTTAGCTGTTTTAAAAAAGGATTTTGGCCCAGCAACACTGAAGGACTAGTGATATAGTTTCAGGTCAGGATGGCTTAGAGTGGCAATTGCAGGTTGTAGCACTTCAGTGCTTCTGCTGCCCTTGTTCTCCTATGTTGTAGAGGTGACAAATTTAGAAGATGCTGTCAAAGAGGCTTTGCTGAATTTCTGCTGTGCATCTTGCAGATGATACACACTGCTACTACTGTGCATCAATAATAAAGGGAGTGAATGTTTCATTTAGTGGATCGGTTGCCAGTCAAGCTGGATGGTGTTAAGTTTATTGAGTTTGTGGGAACTGCCCCATCCCATCTTCTGCCACCTCCCTTCTTAAACAGGGGTGTTACATTAGCCATGTATCGGTCCTCTGGGACCCAAATGTGATCTGACCAGAGGCTTATACAGCCTCAGCAGTACATCTTTGCTGTTCCACTGTAGCCCTCATGAAATAAATGTTAACATTGTGTTTGTCTTCCTAGCTGCCAACTGACCCTGCCTACAGTGATCAATTTGGATTTCCAGAAGGCCTTTGACAAGGTGTCACACAACAGGCTGCTATGCAAGGCAAGAACCTATGGAGTTAGGAGCAAAGTATCCTCATAGATAGAGGATTGGCTGACTGACTCTCCTTGACTCTAGTGATTACATAAGGAGTCTACGGAGCAATATGGACAAGTTGTGAGTGGGCAAAAACCTGGCAAATGGAATACAATGTGGAAAAATGTGAGGTTATGCACTTTTGGGAAGAAAAGAGAAGCTGAATACTATTTAAATGGAGAGAGAAAAACTGCCGAAAGCTGCATGACAGAGGATTTGGAGGTCCTTATGCATAAGACACAAAAAGCTAGCATACAAGTTCAGGTAATAGGGAAGGCAAATGCAATGTTGGCCTTTGTTTCAAAGGGCATGGAGAAGAAAATTAGGGACATTTTGCTAAAACAATTCAAGACAATTGTCAAGACTGTAACTGGAATACTGTGACCATTTTTGGTGGTTGTCAATGTTGGCTCCATTATCTGAGAAAAGATATGCTTGCAGTTCAGGGAAGTTTCTCTAGGTTGATTCTCGGTAAGAACTGACTTTCTTATGAGGAAGGGTTGAGAAGATTGGGCCTGTACTCATTGGAGTTTAGAAGAATGGAGTTTATTGAAACATGTAAGAGTCTTGGAGGCTTGACAAGGTAAATGTTGAGAGGTTGTTTTCTCCTGTGAAGAGCCCAGGACCAGAGGGCACAATCCCTAAATAAAGGGTTACCCAGTCAGGACAGAACCAAGGATGAATTTCTTAATTCAGAGGATAGTGATTCAATGGAATTCTTTACTGCAGGGGGCTGTAGTGGCTATGCCATTAGGTGTATTTAGTCAGATTTTCAATTCATAAGAGAATGAAAGGTTTTGGGTGAAAAGGAGGAAAGTGAATTGGAGAATTTTCAGAACGTCCATGATTGAATGGCAGACCAGAATTGATGGACCGAATGGCCTATTTCTGGACCTACATCTAATGGTTCTATGGTGTAACGAGCTGAATGACCTACTTCTGCCCTTTGTTCTTATATTGTATTGATCTAATTATTCTGGTAAAGATGTCTAGAGTCCTGTCTACTGTCAAGTCGCCATTTTTTTCCAATGTAAAATCAACTACTAAACTGTATCCATTCTATACTCCGTCTTCAGATTCAGCTTCGGGTTAAACCCTCTTCTGCCTCCCTGACCCCATCCAATAACATCACACTCGAAGGCATCTCTAGTTCAGTTGAAGTCAAACTGGATACGATCTATAAATTGTTCACTTTCAAAACCGGTTGCCATTTGTTAATGCCCACTGTCCTCATGCCCCGTTTTTAGTGATCTGTGTGAGGGTGGTTCTTTAGCTAATCTACTCACATATTAGCACTCAATATTACTTTCACAATAACTTTGTGTAGTAAATCCTCTTCAATTATTCCAAAGTTTTCATGACAACTGCAAACATATTGGCATAAATGGACAAAGATCATCGTATGCCACTCTATTGTGGCATTTGTTGTTTGGAAATTAAATAGGTTATTGACTCAAAGGAGTTCAGCAAAGACAGATAAAGCTTTTTAACGCACCTTAATTGCAAACTTGAGCTGTTTGGATTTGTAAAAGGCTGCATTACAGATTAAAATTACACTGAAGGAGTAAAGAATCCACTGTTACATAAATGAATCCGCTCAGTAATGTAAAGGAATCTCATTGTAAAGGTGTACGAGCACATTACTGCAGATACTAGAATCTGTTCTGAAGACAACAAACGCTGGTGATCACAGCAGGTCAGACAGCATCCATGGAGAGTGTAAAAACTGAAGGAACTGCGGATGCTGTAAATCAGGAACAAAAACAGAAGTTGTTGGAAGCTCAAGTCTGGCAGCGCCTGTGAAGAAAAAATCAGAGTTAACGTTTCGGGTCCGGTGACCCTTCCTCAGAACAGAACGGACCCATAAGACCATAAGACACAGGAGCAGAAATTAGGTCATTCAGCCCATCGAGTCTGCTCCGCCATTCAATCATGGCTGATAAGTTCCTCAATCCCATTGTCCTGCTTTCTCCCCGGGACCCGAAGTGTTAACTCTGATTTTTTCTTCACAGATGCTGCCAGACCTGATGAGTTTCCAGCAACTTCTGTTTTTGATCCATGCAGAGAGAGCAAGTTAATGTTTCAAGTCTAGATGACTCTTCAGTCATTGTAAAGATGATTTCGTTTTAAATTTGAGTTCTTTTTAAAACAAAAATGTTAATGAGTAGCATCTTCTAAGGAATTCAATCAATTAATAAGCGTCTGCACTGTCTAAAAAATACAGTAGTACAAAGAATGGTCCTGGAAAAACAGGCCTTGTAGTATTTTCAACATGTTCCTTATAGAACTCTACTTTGTTTACTTCAGCATGACTTGCCCATCCCAAATTAATCCCTGGTGAGATCATTCAACTTCCCCAAAATAGTGTCATCAATCTTCATTTTTTTTTGTTGGGAGTTACTGTAAAAACAAACCCTTCACCTTCTTCAGAAGAGCTGGCCTGGTAGACTGTTTCAACTACTGTGCTACACAGCCTGTACCAAATCTTTGCAGTTCCTTTTTGTTGAAAGAAACTTTAATCCATTTGGTTGTGAAGCTTTAGTGTGTTAAGCCTATTCTGCAGCTATTGAGAAAAGTTATGGAAATACATTTTGATGGCTTCAGAAGACATTTCTGTTCCCTGCCTAGACCTCCTTAGATCATTCCTCAATATAATGTATGATTTATAATTTCCTCTCTTTCCCTCCCACTTCCCAAAAAATACCACACACTCATAAGAGGGTCTAGTGACCTTGCAGGCTAATCAAGTTGGGCTGCAATTTGAGCTGTCTTTTTAAATTTGAGATAACATATCCTTGCTTACTAAGTTCAATACTTTGAACATTTTCAAGCTATTGCAGTTTGAGATCAAAATTAGTCATTAGGCTAAAGTTAAAAATGAAATGCAGTGTTTGGACTGAGCATGTTAAACTGACAAGCCAGATTAAGGGGGCAACAGTTGTGTTCAGCACAGATGTCATCTGTTGGTTGGGTGTGTTAACACCATGAATTTACATTACTTCATGTCTGTGAGCTAACATAGTGCTGATTTCAAGTTCTAACATGCTGAGACTCACAAATTTGTTCTTCTTTTAGCTCCCTACAACTGGTTGATTAAAATATCCCCTTTCATTAAAAAATAAATGCCTTTCACCTGTAATATCCTTTCATTTTCTCTGATTCCAGTTGAACTGTGAGCTAGTGTAGATTTTGGTTGTCTGTACAACTGGAGCGTTGACATTTTTACGAAAGGGTTGACAAACACAGAGAATGCTGGAGAAACTCATCAGGTCTGGCAGCATCTGTGTAGAGAGAGACAAAGTTAACACTTTGAATCCCATATGATTATATGTTTATATTTAAGTAAGGCATTTGATAAGGTTCCCCATGGTAGGCTCATGCAGAAGTTAAGGAGGCATGGGATAGGGGGAAATGTGGCAGATTGGATTCAGAATTGGCTGACCCTTAGAAGACAAAGGGTGGTAGTGGACGGAAAATATTCAACATGGTGCTCAGTTACGAGTGGTGTACCACAAGAATCTGTTCTGGGTCCTCTTTGTGATTTTTGTAAATGATTTGGCTGAAGGAGTGGAAGGGTGGATTAGCAAGCTCGCGGACGATACGAAGGTGGGTCACGTTGTGGACAGTGCAGAGGGCTGTTCTAGGTTACAAAGGGACATTGATAGAATGCAGAGCTGAGCTGAGAAGTGGCAGATGGAGTTTAACCCTGAAAAGTGTGAAGTGATTCATTTTGGAAGGACAAACTTGAAAGCAGAATACAGGGTTAACGGAAAGATTCTTGGCAGTGTGGAGGAGCAGAGGGATCTTGGGGTTCATGTTCACAGTTCCCTGAGAGCTGCCACCAAGGTAGATAGAGTTGTTAAGAAGGCGTATGGTGTGTTAGCTTTCATTAATGGAGGGATTGAGTTCAAGAACTGTGAAGGTATGCTCCAGCTATACAAAAGCCTGGTTCGGCCACATCTGGAGTATTGTGTCCAGTTCTGGTCACCTCATTACAGGAAAGATGTGGAAGCATTAGAAAAGGTGCAGAGGAGATTTACCAGGATGTTGCCTGGAATGGAGGGAAGGTCTTATGAGGAAAGATTGAGAGAGCTAGGGCTTTTCTCTTTAGAACGACGAAGGATGAGAGATGACTTGATAGAGGTGTACAAAATGATCAGAGGTATAGATAGAATAGACAGCCAGAGACTTTTTCCTAGGGTGGAGGTAACTTTTACGAGGGGACATAGTTTTAAAGTGAAAGGAGGTAGATATCGGGGAGACTTCAGAGGTAGGTTCTTTACTCGGAGAGTGGTCGGGGCATGGAATGCATTGCCAGAGAGGGTAGTGGAGTTGTCCTCATTAGGGGCATTTAAGCGGCTATTAGATAGGCATATGGATGATAGTATAAGGTAGCGGTGGAGGTTAGATAGACCTTAGGTTTAGGGTAAAAGTTCGGCACAACATGGTGGGCCGAAGGGCCTGTACTGTGCTGTACTGTTCTATGTTCTATGACTTTGACGTATCTGCAGTATTTTGCCTTTAATGAGTTAACAAATGGTAACCATTTTATTTTACCGCAATTTATAGGTATTTTGTACACTCTTGTTTTATCCTTTCCATTCTGAATAATTTTGTCGTCAGGACTTCAGATTGTGCTCCTGGGTGAACTCTGTTCATCTCCTTATACAGAACTTTCACATTGGAGTAAAGACCAGAGCATATTTGGAAAATAAACCTGTTTTCACGTTATTCTCAGCCTTGTTTTGGTCCAGTGCATCCACAGGTGTCCTCTTTATTTTTAAAAGCCATTCAATTAAATTAGCCCAAATATAAGCTCTAACTGCCAATGCATTGATTAAATGGTGACAGAGTGATTGAATAATACCATAAATTTCACATTTCCTCAGTAATTAGTAAGTTTAACTGATTCTTCCTCTGATAGAAAATTATTTTTAAATACATTTTTTAAAATTTTCAGTCTAAGA